AAATAGATTGAAGGTGTCCGAGATTCTTCATCTTATAATTTCTTGACAGCAGCATCAATCTTGGGAATGATCTCCAGCTCCTTCCACTGTTCTGTGGACAGGGAAATCCCTAGAAACAGGAGCAGGAGAGGTTTCAGAGGGGTAAGCATCAAGTAGCACACCTGACTGGCTTCTTCAGACCAGCTGCAGATGGGAAAGCTGGAATCTGAGACAGAGGCACAGTCCAGAAACAGAAGCAATCTTCTAAGCATGGCAGTTGTACCAGCACTGCAGCATCCTTAGCAAGAAGTACCTGATGCTATCACAGAAGCACCATCTGAGAATACAAGCTCAAATTGCCTTTCATGAGTCCCACAGTCCCTTATGGGCTATTCTCTAGTACAAATTCCCACTCATATGAGCCGGGAAGAAATTCTAGGAGAACCTTACTCCACGCAGCAGTTAAGACACCATCCTTTGAATGGCCCAAAGGAAATAATGCCAACTCTAGCTCTGTTTAAAAAAAACCTGCTGATAACAAGGAATCACTAGTGTGGCTTAAACAATAAAAAGAACTGGTTTCTTTTTAGATTCAGCAGAGGTAAGGTCTTTATATCCTCTCCCTTTCTCTTACAAAACAGACACTGTAGTGAAATTGCTGCATGGGTTTCCAATCAGATATTGTCAGCTTGTTCCTTTTGGGTTTGTTAAGAATTACATTAAAGAACTGAGGCCCATGCTTTATTAAATTATCTAGATAAAGATCAGGTGTCAAGAACTCTTCAGAAAAACAGTAGATGTGGTATTTAAATGAAAAAACATTTCTTCATGATCTCTGTTTTAACTGACAGATCTTCTGTCTTACATTGTGGGCATGCTTTTTCCCTCCTGGAAGGAGTTCACAATGCTCCTTTCCCTCTCTGATCCCAATGGCACAGAAAAGCTTGAGGGCTTTGCTTCCCATTTTCATTACAGGGTACACAGCTCCCTCCAAGAGAGTAATTTGTACTTGTAACTTCTCTGAAAGAAATTAATCTGAAAGGAAAACCATGCTTAGTCGTCCAATATTATAGGTTATGCTCAATGATCTCAGAGGTCTTTTCCAACCTAATTAATTCCATGAAGCAAACCAAGCTGAAACAAATTAATCTACCCTCACACAAAAATCTATAGCAAGGATCAAAGGATTCCTCAAGAAATCCCACATTAACTGAATTTATGCTGGGCACAATACACAGGGCAGCCAGGACCTGTGAACTTGCAGGCAAGATGGCAAGTCACTATAAAAATGCCAAAGCATGAAAGAAGGGTCTTAACACGGAGAACCCCTTTAGAGGGGCCACTGGAGGAGGCAGAATGAACATACAACGTACAACGTTTGACTCTCCCTTTCTGTAGTGTTTAGGTCACTTTCCCACTCCACAACTATGACCACTGTCCATGTAAGACTTGGACAAACTCATGCTCAGGGAACAGATCTCTTGCAATGCTTATAACTTGAATAAATAGTTTAGTGTTCAAATGGTCATTTGGTAATGACAGAGACACAACAATCTCTATGAGCACAGTGTTGGCTTCTAACGTAACCAGTTTTTCACAGTATCAAAGCTGTTTTGCATAGAAACTTTACAGGAATTCACTACCTCAAGGTGGTGGAGTCGTGTCTGGAATTTGTAAATGTTTTGTGTCATACTATTTTACTTTTTACTATAGAGAAGGGAGGAAGCCTTTAAACACATGGATTTTCTTCCTTTTTGTAGAGGGATCTATTCCTCCAAATAATGCAAGGAGACTCTATTTTTTTGAGCTTCCATCAGCAAATAGTTCTCTGACAAATCTGTCCATCAAACCTACTCACTCACTTTATTTTTCCAAGGGAAAAAGAGACAAACAAATAAGAAAATGAAAAAAGTTAAAATACTTAAATATTATTACATTTATGGTCCCAAAAATATGTAAATCAACTGCAGTGAATTTTCTATTAGTTTTTAAATATTCACCTCAATATACATTTGTTCTTTAGGGCACACAAGAGATAAATAATTGAGTTAACATTGCTAGATAAATCAAATCTTTTTCCTGAGCTGCAAATATTCCAGATTATAACCTTGAAGTTGCTATGCGATAACTACAAATGGAAACTAAACAGATCAAAGTGAGCAAGCAGGAACCCACACTCAAGCACCCAGAGGCCTAATTTACTGAGACATATAGTAGCAGCCCCATCATTTCAGATCAGTGAGTCAAGACTGAATGGCTCTGAAATGTAAAACCCAGCTTGGCCACAGGGAGCAGAAGCTTGGGATTTGAGCTTGTGCTATGAACAATATGAGAGTGCAAGATTTAAAACAAACAAAAACTCTCAAAACCAAGCCCCACAACAATTTTGGGTAGCTGTGGTTTTGAACATCTGAATAGATTGTGGTGACTCTTTCAGCCGCAGATAGCGAGATACCCAATTCCATTTTGGCTTCAGGATCTTCTCTGCACTGAGTACAAGAATGGAGTTCATATTGCACAGCATTAGTTATCTCCTAACAATAAACGAACCTCTCTTATGTGGGAGATAAACTACGATAGTCCAAACTGCTTGCATAAAATCCCCACTAGTGCTCATGGAGGTGGGAGTAGACAGAAGGCATTAACGACTTCAGTTAAACCCTGCTAGAAAACCATTTTTTATGAGCTGCAGACTTTGACAGCTAAAGGTAAAGTCAGACAAATATGTGCACATATGCTTTCCACGTTCTTACCTATAGGCCAGGCAAACTCCTCACAAGAGAAAGATAGGTAAAAATAAGGGCAACAAGAATCAGCTACACAGAGCTCTTCTGCAGCGTTGTGGAGAACTTTTATTTTATCATGACACCTGTTCAATTTCTGCCTTTGTGTGCTGTGTTGGTGTCAGAATTGATCAGATATGCTGCAGTGTGGATCAGCACCAGAGTCTATTTGCAAGCTTCTCTGTTAACTTACCAAAGAAATCAACAATGTGGAAATAGCAATGTGGGAACTAAATTCAATCCCAGGATGGGCACTGTGTTCCAGCCATGAGAAAGTTCGAATTTGTTTATCTCAGATTTGAGCATATATGTTTCAGCACACATGCACTTTGATCAAAAACTCTCATCTGTAGTAAAAACTACTTGCTAAGGCAGGCAGCTAGAGAAACACAAAATGCATCCAAAAGAATTATGGGACAAATTAACCTTGTGTGGGAGAGAGCAATATACTGTCCCAACTGCCCTTCAGGTTTATAAACTCATAAATCTTATCCATCTTTCTTTTAAGTTGTTGGCACTGCATCAGGAGTGTTAACAGTTCATTGTTGAGACCACATGCAGCTAAAGTGTTTTCTTTAGTGCTACAGCATTGACGGGGACACAACTGCAACTACACTTGGGTTGCCTTGGTGGAAGTTTTTGACTCTGAACTTTGAGCTTCTCATCTGGAAGACTGAGGGCTGACAGTCTCCACTGCAATGAATAATGTTCCGGGCCTGTTCTGTTCACTCTTGCCCACTGCTGGCAAATTTTATATTCATCAACTCAAGCTGCAGCAGGATTGCTGATCATTTTTTCTATTTTTCTCAGCAAAGTAACAGAGTGAATAATTAGGACTGGTTAAGTAATCTGCTGGATTGGAGGGAACACCACCTCCCTAAATTTAACACACTAGAAATGTATGATGCAGCTGGAGGACTTTGAAACTACTTCCAGACACTCAGAGCCTACAGAGTTCTTCAGACAATCACTGTACCATGCATGTTCTAAACCTACCCAGCACAGAGAATGCACCTTCCCAGGGCGCATATTGTAATGTCTATGGGCACAGAACAAAAGCCAGTGGAAAACAATCAAGGCTTGTCTTTCAGGCACTTCAGCAACTTCTGAAGTCATAAATTCATTTGGCAAAGGAGTGTCATGAACACTTCATGCATGCAGAGAGACATATTTCAAATAAGCACTCAAAGATCAGGAAAAGGCAGGTTTCCCTTGTAGGGCTGATATTTCAGGAGTGCTTGGCACCATGCCACCTGGTGATATGATGGTGAGCTGCTGACACCAGCATCTGTCCTGGAAAAGACAAGACCCTTTAAAAAACAAGTTGCTACACATTTAAAGTAGCAGAAAGCACATCATGGGGTAAGGGTACTCCAAGAAGGAGACTATGGTGAAAAAAAGAAAGATGCATGGAAATCAGTGCTTTGGTGCCCATCCAAAGGACAAGGCCAGTGACCGGTCACAACAACCTGTTTTTTAACAAGCACGTGCACAGCAGCTGTGTGCAGACAAGAATGCACAGCTTGACTTTTCCATGCATACAAAAAAAAAGAGGTACACCTTCATTCAAACCCACAATAGCTTTTCAGCCCCTGTAAAATACACTATTTTAATTATAAGTAGTAGTGTAAAGAATAAAAAAAAAAAAGGTATCCACTGTGGCTTGTGAAAAGACATCATGTACATAGGACAGATCAGAGGAAGGACTCAAACCTTGCAGGGTGGCAGGAACAATACTCCATCAGGTTATCTTCTAGAACTACAACTAGTCTAGGACTTGTAGTCAGTATCTTGATATATTTTCCAGGTCTGGGCTGCTCTTGCTCTTGTTATTGATGCAACCAGCTTGTTTAAGTACATGGAACAGCACAGAACACAATCCTGCAGCAGCTGGGACAACAGAACACCCCCCAAAGATCAAGCAAGAGTTTAGCACAGAGTGGTGGCAGCCATGAACTGTCCAAAGACCATAAACTTCCAGAGTAACCAAGTACACAGCAAAATGCATCCTCCAACAGAGACGGGAGAGAACCTGTCCTGGTAAGAACCCTAATACCAGAAACTCATCTCAGCAATCTTTCCTCGTCCTGGCAATAACAGTCAGGATCACTCACAGTGCACCTCCTAAAAGGGCATGAGTTACTGCAGTCTAAACAAAATGCAAAAAGGTGCTTGCTTGCTTGCTCAGCACACCTCACTAAAGCCAGGCAGTGAATTTAAGGAAGAGGTACCATAAGGAAACATGCTAATTGCATTCACTTTAATTTTAAACAACTGCTCCGAGTCCTTGTCTGCTGGGCAGAGATAACACGTCACTCTGTAGTTTCAGTTTCCAAGTTGGCTGTATGACACATGTCCATGAAGGTGTTGGACTTTGTTTTACACTCATAGAAGCTGCCCAGAATAAGACTGCAGGAATTGGTGGAGTCTCTGAGCCTCTCTCTCACCAAAATGCAAAGGAAAACAGACATGGTGCAAGTCAGGGGAAGAAGGTGAAGAAAAGCACTTAAAAGGTGCACAAGAGTTAAAATTTCATTTTCTTTATGCCTTCCTCCCCTCTGTACAGTAGCAAAGAGGAAGAGAAATAGCAGGGTTCAATGGAAGGCAGAAGGTTTCCGATGGGCTCACCGATGGCTCAGTGCTGCTGGGTGGGTGATGACTTGTTGCTTCACTGCTGCTTGGTTTTAAGGGATAATCTCTGTATCATCTTGTAAAGGAGACCAAAGTGCTGGAAAAAGAATGAAAAGAAGTAACCATGGCTGTTCTAAACAGACGGAAAACTTAGTAGAAGGCTTAAAACAATACCAACGTGCAAATGCAGTACCTAGTTTGAATCATCCACTAGCACTCTCACCCTGAAGATGGAGTGAGATTTGATGAATTAAGAGGAATTATGACAATGAAGCCAGTTACTTCAAGTTGTACAGAAAGTGATGGCTTACAAAAGTGTTTGTGTAGGTGTGTATCACCCCTTTGTGAAGATGCAACCACTTGTTAAAGATTTTATTTTTTTGGATGCAATTCTGTTCCTTCTGAAGGGGAGAAAGCTTCAGATTTCAACACCTGCAGGATCCTGGTCGCTGTAGAAACACTGCTGCTAGCAGTGTCACAAACGTAAAAACAAACCAGGCAAACACAGAGATTCCCAGTAATTCACAATCCTTTAACCAGATCTTCTCCGGCACCATTTCACCAGTGACTTAGAAATTAACTTAATTCCTCTTTTGATTTTGCTTTGGTTACTTGTGTTTTGATTCAACAACAGCTACTTCAAATATTTGACCGAGATCCAGGCTTCAAACAATTTCAAATTCAAATACAAAAGTAAGGAAGATAGCTGACAAATCAAAGTATATGTTTTCCTTCCTGTTTATGTTGTTACATTGTATTTTTAAATGCTTGTAGTTTCCCCAAACAAATAACAAACACAAATAACACAAAGAGATCAAAATTGAGAGTGACCTAAAATGCTTCCCTTTCATTCATGTTCTTCATGAGCCTAGGCAGGATCAGAAGCCTCACTCACAGTGGCTTGGTTAACACTTACACAAAAACATTACATATAAACAGAGTGGCCAAGGCATGGAGTATCACATTTCCAGGATTACTGGCACAGGATGTATTTCTGGTTTCATTGAAAAAAGAAACCAAAACTCTGAAGATGCATTTCTAAGTTGCATCCCAAGTTCAGATATTTTCTAACACTACCTCACTACAAGCAACAAACTTTTAACATTACAGCAAATTTTAGTTGCCTTGAGTAGTCTCAGTTTGAAGGCAAAATAGCTTAGCAAGTGAGTTATGCATGTCCTTGACTACAAGAAACAGCTCTAAAAAACCAGTTTTGCACTAGAATGGCAAGAGACTGCCTTCAGCACAGCCAACTGAAATACTCAAAGACATACACCAAAACAGCCAGCTGTTCTGGATAACTGCTTTTAGAGTGGGATGGCATTATTGTTCCAGCTTTAGCGCTGGGACTGTGTGAACACCAGTTACTGTGCTACCATGATTTATAAGGAAAATAATATGTCTGTTTCCTGCTTCTCTTCTCTTACCTGCACTGCAACATAGGCAACGCCCAAGTAGGCTGCAATACAGACAGCTAGAAGCAGGTCAAAGATCGCTGGCTTGACCCTGTCATAAAGAAAGTACACATGAAATTGCTACAGCAGTTGCCGCCACGGAGTGAGACAATAGCCCAACGTGCTCAAGGGAATTCCATACCTGTATGCATTCATCACCTGTTTCAGCTGGTCATAGAAAACAAACTCAGGATCCCTGTGCAAAGAAGAAATTTCCAGATTCTATTACACTTCTTGACACTGTAGTGAGGACAGCCCAGACCTGTCCCCAAGGAGTCCACCCACCCAGAGACAGGGAAGCATGACCACCTCACATACTAATTTTGAGCTGATTTTAGTCATCAGGTCTTTCTTTTCCCCAAATCAGAAGCCTAAGGACACAATTCAGAACACATGCTATTCAGCTGTCTCCAAAGAGCCATGTGAAAGATTCCTCCCTGTGTTCACTAAACTGCTTTAGCCTAAGCGGGTAAGATGGGATGTAAGCTGCCCTTTTACAATTAATGAAAGCTGTCTAGGAGACCTCAGTCTTTTCCTGCACTCAGAGTGGGAAAGGTGGAACCAAAACAGTGAAAAAACAAGCTCTTCAGACAGAGGGAGCTGCTGGGTCTTGTTTCTGTGCTGTGAGGAATGGTTAAACAGCTTTCTCTAGAACAGAGAGCATGAACCAAAACTGTCAGAAAAGCAGAAAAGTGCAATCCCTTCCAGCTGCATGCCAAGAAACCAGAAAAGCAGCAGCTCAGAGACAGTTATTTAGAGGGGGAAGCCAGTTTGCATGCCCTGGCTGGTTCTTTCATCTCCTTTCTTACCGTTTGTCTGCCTTTACATGATGCTGCTTGACATCCTTCAGGTAGCGTCCCATATAATATTCTAAGGTGTTGAGGAAGGTGCTGTCTTTATCAATCAGCTGGGCAGCCCTGGGTTGACTGCTCAGCCAGTCCATCACTGACTCCAGTTGCTCCTGCTGGATCTGCTACAGAAAAATACCACCAAATAAAGGGCATCAGGTACACACATGCTGAGACCAGACCTCTCTCCCAGACTCTAGATTCCTTCTTCCCACAGGTTACAAAACCACACTGTGCTCACCATCTGATCTGTGAAGATCTGCATATCTGCAGGTGCTCCCTGCAATGGCAAAAAAAAAAAAGAAACAAACAAGCAATCCAGGCTATTGGTGAGAGCAAGCTTGGTTGGGCAGGACAAGTCTGGTCAGCACTGCATGGTGGGCAGCTCTTACCTTGTCTGTTAAATTGTAGATGACCCTTGTCAAAGCTTCAGCAATGATCCTAGTATTCCTGATCAGTGCTTTAGTGTCTATCCGTGCCCTAAAGAAAAAAGAAGGGATTATGGACTTGCCAATGGCATCAGCTTCCTCTAGAAACAACCCTTTTTCACTGCATCATGCACGAGCCTGAATCCAGAGCCCAACTCGCGGTGTTTTTGTCACCTGTCTCCTGACCATCAGAACAACACAAGCAGCTGTGAAGCCAATTTGGGTCTACGGGCTGGATTTAAACTGCAGCCTTCCTTCCCTAAGGCCTCTCACCTCCTGTCCATGATGCTGTTGCGGAGGCTGTCACGGTGGCTCTCCAGGTGGGAGATGGTGAATGCTGGCAAGCGTCGGATCGCAAACCGCTCGTGCTCCCATGCCAGCATGTCCTCAGCCAAGTTAATCTTCTTGTGCACCATGGAAAACTTCACCTCTGGGAACTGGCTGGCAACAACCTGAGGGAAAGGACAAGCCATACACGGGTGTCATGCTACCCACTGCATTATCCCATCATGCACTGCCCTGTCTGCCTAGACCCACTTTTTCTGCATTCCAGAAGGTAAACACACCTCCACCTGTAAGGTGCAGTTATTGCCATTATAAAGCTGGTTTCATATCAAAAAGAGCTGTTTTAATGTCACTACAGGGTAATATAAGGAAGCCATAAGGAAGTGCAGTGGAAAATGCAGCAGATCTACTCTGCTTCATTTAGAACTGCAGCATGAGAATTTGTCTGCACTTCAAATCAAGTGACCATAAATAATACATGAAATATTGCAATGGCACACCATTTCTTTACATCGTCCTTCCTCTCTTGGAGAGCTGCAGCTCCCCACACTAAGTCCCAAGTTCCCATGTACCTAAAATGTTTTTATTACCATCTCCAGTTCTCTCAGAAATGCATGCTGCAAGGTCCCCTCCTTGGGAGGCTTTGAGACATGGAGATGAAGGCTATTGCCTCTGCCCAGAGTATCAAGGCAGAGAACAAATGCTACGTTGTCCTGCAGCAAGCTGGAATCTGCAACAGAAAAATACAAACCTTTATTGCTATGTCTTGTGCTGGGACTTCCATCCCAAAAAAGCAAGGCTCACACAAGGAGATTCTCACAGGAGGACTGACAATTAATAACAGACATTTAACACAACTGTATTGACACAGACTTTGCCACAGAACATGCTGGAATGTCAGCCCCTTACTCACCAGTGTGGTCCAAATTGTCTTCCAGCCACCGCTTAGTTCCTTGATAATTAAACTTGCCACCTCCAGATGCAAAGAACAGCAAGTTATACCTGCCCATCAAAGAAGCCAGAAAAGTGTTAGCATGCTGTACTCCCAAGAACTCCTTTACTCAGTCTTGGAGGTGTGGTAAAATCACAACTACTAGCACCTGACATCCAAGGCAAACTGTCCATTAACAAACACTTCCTACATGCCACATACTCAGGTAATGGCAAGACAGATTAAAAGGGGGAGTTCCCATTGCTTGAGGATGGAATCTACTTCCCATATCATTCTCTCCACTTGTCCCTAAGCTTGAGCAGAGCTACAGCAAAGAGAACAGAGGAAGGAGCTTGGCCATTAACAGCAGCCGTACTCAGATGGAAACAGAACAGAGCAAATTGAAGGACTGTTTGTAACACCCTGTAGGTCTGGAGCAAGAGCCCATCTTATCTGTTCTCAGCTACACACATTTAAGCATAAACAGGGCAGTTTCTTACCCAGCATGGGTACGTCTGTAGGTGTAGAGCCGGGAAAACAGCCTGGCCAGTTCCAGAAGCACTGAGGTACCACTGCCATTGGAGTCAGCACCGTGTGACAGCCACTGCAGGATGAAGCGGGACAAAGACAAGGTGACAAACCTACACTGACAGCTTCAAGATAGCACACCACCACGCTTCACTTGTAACTGCCCCACATCCTTAAGGCCAAGAAAAGACACATGGGCAAAGGCCAAATGGGGAAAAAAGACAGGAACAGACAGCTGCAGGAAAAAAGAATACTCACTGGAGCCACTCCAAAAGAATCATAGTGGGCAACTATCACAACTGTGGGCAGGTCTTCTCCACCCAGCCCTGTTAGCCTTCCCTGCAGAGGAAAGAGAGCAGTGTCACTCCACGTCACCTCTTGTGTACCTGTACAAAGACAGCTTCATTTCTACATGCCCGCTGAGTCTGCCCTGGCCTTAGTTTTGAGGACTCCAGATACTTACATGGCTGAGACTCCCTTGACTTGCCCTATCAGTCCAAATGTCTGATGAAGTCCCAATAAAATAATTCATTCCATCAACATTGCCAGTTTGAATCCACATACTACTCACCTCCACACTGGGTATAAGCCAGTCATTGATAGCTTTGCTTTGGGCCCCACTGGTCACCATCTGGAAGCCATTGGCAGTTGCCGTGTGCAGCAGAACTAGAACAAAAAAAACCCAAAACCACAATGTACACCCGGGGAAGTTTCATCCCTTTATTTTCCTTGCTAACTGCACTTTGAAAAGACCAGCTTTAAACCATTTAAGCCCTCTCGCTTGTCACTTGTGTTTATGCAATGACAGTTTCTTGGTGACCATACATCTTCATTCTGTCCTAAAACAAAAACTTTTCTCCAGCAGTTCTAAAGTTAATCATAAACAGCAGGTCAGTAAGACAGTCAAGTTATTTACAAGGGGATACATGGAAGCACCAAACGGAGGTGTGGTCAGACAAAAAGCTTCAGCTTCTACCAACACACCACCTTCACTTAACATCTTCAATGTTGTTTTTAACCTAGTTTTGATTTATATCTTATTTGCAACAGTGTGAAGCTGAGAACTTCATGCAACTGTATTTCCAAATATAGTCAAGTAATACCCTCTCATACTGAGTTTTTCTTCCACTGACTCTCAAAACTCTTTGACAAAGTCAGAATAAACATGAATGTGACAGAGCAGTGGTTCATGGTGTACAGGACACAGCAGACTGCTCCCAGGCCTGTCTTCCTCAAACCTTTCCCCCACTTGTTAGAACTCACCTTCTGCAGCTGAGGCAGAACCCTGTGATGCAGAAGCAGCCCGTGTTTGTTCATAGATAGACAGCAGCTCTTCATCTTCCACTGCAAAGTAGACTGGCACAATGGTTTCCATAGCAAGCATTTCTGGCTCTATCTCCATGAATTGCTGAGGATTTAAGTGAGACACAAACTTAGCATCTGCTAAACATGAAAGAGGGCAGGAAAATATTAACAACCAAAGCAGAGAGGTAAGTTTTAATATTAGAATATGACTTGTTGTGCATTACAACAGGAGCTTCCAGTCCTGCAGCAACCCAAGCTTCTCTCAAATAAATCTCCCATCGGAAGAGAAAGAAAACTTTATTTTTTTTTACCCTTACAACATCCTGTGGAACAGAAGAGATAGATCGTGGCAAGATGATGACCACAGCCCCAGCTGACTGGCGGAGAGCCTTCTGGTACTGCTCGTAGGAGAAGTCCACCAGCCGCATCATGACGCAGCGGCGGCTCAGGACATCCGCCTCTACTGTGCGTGCTTCTGTGTTGAGCACTGCGCTCCTGGTGCCTGGCAGCAGAGAACAGCAACAGGCCTTGTCAGTTGCTTCAACTTATGCTTTCAACATATCCCCTTTGCTCGAGTCTAGCTCCTTCTCAGAACAGTCTTTGTGACAGTTTGATGAACTTCAGAGCAGCCAGGACCTGCAGAAAGCTAAGTCCGCCTCTTCCCCCTCATCCAAGAAGGAGCAGAGATCTGTGGTTTTTCTTGCAATCCATCAGAGCAACACCTCTGCGGCCATGTCCTGCCAGACTCCCCTTATTCCAGCATTATACAGCCTTGCCCACCTTCCAGTCTACCTGCTCAACACAACCACACAGGCTGTTTGCTCACCTGCACCTGACACCTCTGGAGAGAGCCTGGTCTCTCTAGAGCCTCCTGCATCCTCCAGCTGTAGGATCACCCCTCCATGCAGAGGATGGAGGCTGTGCAGAGACACCAGGCTACCCTGTGTCACCCAAAAGGCTGCTCTTGCCCACCCACAAGGACAGGTCTGTAGCTGGGGAAGTGACAGATGAGCAGGTTGCTCCTAGCTGCTCGCTCTCTCCTACTCTCAGCTTCAGCATATCAAATCCCCTACATGGAAATGCAATTCTTTGGGAGAACAGCAGTCTGTAGGCTTGACAGCAGCTCCTGCATTCTCCAAGGGAGGACCAAAAGGACATCTTGTACAGAGAGGTTCAAATCCACCTTACAATTTATAATGCTCCAAATTCAGCTTCTTCTTCTATAACTCTGGCACCTACAGAGGACCTCATCCCTCTACACCCCCACAGAGTCAGGGATGGAACAAGGTGCTCCAGAAGGCATCTGAGCCTCTGTTCAAAGAGGAGTGCTGCTAAGTGTTAGATTTAAACCTGACTTAGCTTAACTTTAGTTTGGTCTCATCAAAGGTCATAGAATCGCCATACACCTGTAAACAGAGTCAAGGCATGATGTAAATTCTCCTCACAGAACTCTGACACTGTATAACAAACAAGTATTAAGAACACCCCTGCTCCAATCAAAAAAAAAAAAGATTCAAAAGGAAGATAATCCCTCCCTAGTTTCCCAAAGAATGATGTGTAAACATAGCAATATGTGGACCCAAAATTCTGCTCCTCTGACACCTAAACAGAGCAGACACAACAGTATTTTCTGACAGCACAGCAAGACAGTTGATTTTCTGTAGTTTCTCTACAGAGAGCTGGTTAATAATAATTCATTTACAAACTAAAGAACTCTATCAGCATTAGAGGAAGTCCAAGTTTGTTCTTAAATTGCTCTATGACTGATGCTGACAAAAAAACTCTTCCCCCTGCAAGAAGAGACTGAGCAGCAATGTGTATTTGGTCTTTTTGGCTGGAACATCAAATAGCTTTTATCCTGAAGGACATCTCAGAACACACAAGGTACAGGACCATCAGCTACCCAAAGGGGGTAGGGAGGAGCAAAGGAAACACACAATCCATCCAAGTGGCAGAGGAAACCTGAGGCTGTAATGCCAGATTGTTAACATAAGTCTGAAACTTCGGAAGAGTCACTCATGAACAGAGCACATGTCCTGGCCTGGAATAAAATATCTACAGAAGACTCAGAAACAACCCTTGATTCTGGGTCCGTGAGTGCACGGGGGTAGAGGCTGAGGGTTACAGCACTTCAAGGATTCACACAACAGGGTGTGTTTCTGGCTTGGAAAGGTGTTGCACAATCAGCAGCCTGGAAGTAACAGAACAGAGGAAGTCAACTGTAACACAACAGAAGAATTGTAACAGGATAGGCCCTGAAATGAAGCCACTGGAGCAACAGATACTGCTGAGAATGAAGAAGAGATGGAAGAAGAATCAACCTGTCAATAGAGGAGTCAAAAGCAAGAGAACAAAACTGAGCTCACGACCAAGTATCCCAGAATGCAGGAGGGATGCAGCTGGATTCCTCGACACACAGAGAGCTCAGCCATAGACAAGCCCGTGGGGTCCTTGGCTACCTCTAGGTCACCACGGTGGAGCTCTCAGCACCGTCCTGGCAGTGCTGAGCCTGGGCAGTGGAACTCAGCCAGATGGGGCCCTCCTGCGTCCTCCCCCGCTCCTGGGCCTGGCCCCGGGCCCGGCTGACCACCTCCCCGGGCCCGGCTGACCGCCTCCCAGGGCCCCCGCGAGCCCTCCTGAGGCCTCTTCTGGGCCGGGCTGCCCTCCATGGGCCGCCCGCGGCTCCGCGGCCTACCCGAGGCTCCTCCCCGGGGGTCGAGGTTCCTCCCAGGGCCCACCACCCCTGAAGAGGCCGCTGCCCGGGGTCCGACCTCCCGGAAGAGCCGAGCCTGACGGGGCCGCGCGGTTCTCTCACCGTAGGGCTGCCCGCCCAGCTCGTACTGCTGCATGCGGTAGACCGTAAACTCGTGCGCGGCCTCGGCGGCGGGCGGCGGACCCAGAAGCAGGAGCACGGCGGGCACGAAGAGCAGGACGCTGAGCGGGAGGCACGAGGCCTTAAGCACCGACTCCAGCACCTCGCCCGCCTCCTCCAGCATCGCCGCGGTCCCGGCACCGCGGCCTGCTCGGCACGCGCGGTACGCACGGCCCGCCCCCGCGGCCTGCCGGGACCTGTAGTTCGCGTTCCGCGGCAAAGGCTGCTGGGAGATGTAGTCGCGGCCAGCCCTGCCGGGCCTGCAGGGGGCGCCACGGGCCGGCCCGGAGCGGCCCCGAGCGGCCCCGAGCGCTGGACGGGACGGGACGGGACTGGGCGGGACTGGGCGGGACGGGACGGGACTGGGCGGGACGGGGGATTTCCGCTGTCCCCGTGAGCGGGGTGATCCCCCTGTCCTGGGAACGGGAGGGCGGGCTCCGGCTGTCCCGGGCCTACAGGGAACGTCTGCCGGGTGCTGCCCGGCTTCTGGATTACGCGGCGGAGACCGAGTACCTGACCTTCAGGAAGTAAAAAATTTACAGCAAAATTAACCCAAGACTTTCTGGTCGCCTCGATTTAATGCAAAACAAATGGGTTGATAACAGTTCCCATGGAGGGGCTGGGCCAGCAGGTTTTGTGTGAGCCCACAGTGCTTCCATGGCTTTGTCCTTTTTGCAGGGTGAGAGGATGTGTTTGAGTGCTGCTCTGATTATTCCCTGCATTAGGGAATAGAAGAGCAGGGATCTGAGGCACAAACTGGCAGTGTCTTCAGGCCCTAGTGTGTGTCTGTCAGACCTAGGGTGGCCCCAGGCTCCCCAGTCACTGTGGTAGTGCCCGGGCTGTCACTGCAGGTGCAGCCCCATGCCCAGAGGCAGGGCAGGGCTCTCACTTCTTGCTGCCAGACTGTAAACACTGTCACAGCATTTGCCCGGGCATGGTGCCCAACCTCAGCACTCCAGGGAGGGCCCAGGCTGTTGCTGCAGCCCTCTGCTGTCCTCTGGCTGGTTTGTGCTGCACTGCAGGTGGGCACTTGATTCCCGGCCAAGGGGCTCGGAACTGCCCCACAACAGCACACAGTTGCACTTGCAAATCCAGTTGTTCTTGACATCAAGCCTGCATTCTCTCCCAGCAGCTGTGCTCGTCACAGCAGTTCCAGAAGGCTGTAAACTTCAGGAGAAGACTGAAGTTCCAGAAGACTGCCAACCCAGCCCGACCTCAAGGGGTAAGGGGGGTCATCTGGTTGAGGATGCCCAGCCTACTTGTCACTGTGCCCTGGGGCAAAATACCCTCATCTGGGCAGGTACAGTGTCTGTCTGCACACACAGAGCACACACACTTATAACCTAGGCACTGCAGTTTCTCAGCAGAGCATCAATCCTAAAATGTACCCGTATCTTTCTCTCCCAGCCTGGGAGCAATGCCTATCCCTCTGCTGCACCCACACTGAAACAAAATCCCAGTCTGATGGGACTAGAAAGCCCAGTTAACAACTGGGGTGGGGCTGCCCCTGGTCAGCCTGAGTTGCACGTAGGCTACAGTTCTGCCAGGCCAGGACCAGCAGAATGAGGTCCTGGGAGCTATCTGGCACCTCTTGCTCTTCCCATGGCCTCTCAGAGGCTGGGGAGATTGCTCATCATGCTGGAGTTGCTGGAGAGAGGTGCTCTGGGCCTAGCATTCAGTGCCACAGAGCTGCGGAAACTCTCCCGGTAGCGCAGTGAGCTCTCTGTGGATGAGCCAGAGTTGATATCTGTGATGACCATGCAGTTTCCCAGGCAAAGCCCAGCCCTGACACAGCAGCAGCACAGCAGGCTTCCCACAGCACGGCGCACCTCCACGCTCCTCAGGGAATAGATGATGGGGTTGACGCCTGAGTTAAGCAAGGCCAGAGCCAAGGTCCAGTCCAGGCTGTGGAGGTGTGTGCAGGTCTGGGTCTCACAGAAGACATCAAACAGCAACAGAACAAAGAGGGGACTCCAGCAGATGATGAAGGCACCCAGGATCATCAGCACAGTCTTAAGCAAGCGCAGGGAACGCTTGCGGCTGTGCCGAGAACTGGTTTGCTTAGAACTGGCCTGGACCAGTTGGAAAATGGAGATGTAGAGGCCAATAATCCCCAGGAGGATGATGCTGAACATGACTACAGAGAAAAGGATGTAGTTCTTGGAGTATAGAGGCAGGAGCACAGAGCAGGCACTGAAGTCACACAGGCAGTTCCAGCCCAGCAGTGGGAGCAATCCTATGACGAAGGCCAGCAGCCAGCAGGAAATGATGAGGCTGCGTAAGCGCAGGGTCTTGCTGGCTTCATTCTCAGCAATTGGCCTCACCATGGCACTATAACGCTCGATGGCTGTCACGAGCAGGCTGAAGGTGGAGGCAGCCAGCGCAATGAACAGGATGCCTTCCCGCAGGAACCAGAGCTGAGGTGAAAGCTGGAAGGTCTTCTTGCCTGAGAGGCAGAGATTAGAGAGGTAGGCAATTCCTGCAAGCAGGTCACTCACAGTGATGCTGGCAATGCAGGAGTAGACCCAGCGGCGGGCTCTCAGACAGCGCAGGATGGCCAGCAGCACGAGCAGGTTCTCCAGGATGATGATGCAGCTGATGACGACGAAGATTGTGCGGATGAGACCCATGCCCTCGTCCTCAGACTGCCGGTTGGTTAGCTTGCCTGTGAAGTTGTAGTGCTGCAGGATGATGTTCACATTCCTCATGGCAGCCAGCTGCAGGCAGGAGCCTTTCCTGTCGAGCGGGTCAAGTCTGAGCTCAGGATATTGAGCAGAGTCCAGTGGAAGGAGAAGGGAGTGATTCAACAGCCAGCTTAGCACTGGACCATCCATCTTCTGAGGCTGGGTCAGCAGCCAAGGGATACACGATGGAGGAAGGGATCAGGTAGGGTTTGGGGCAGAGCAGATCCTCTGTTTAAGGGCTAAAGTAGCCATGAGACTCTGCCACACAGGACTGGCTCTAAACCCAACAGCCCTGCTTAGTGTGCAGAGGAGAGTTAGAGTCCTGTCTGTCAGCCCTGCAGCACTGAAAGAGCAAGGGGAGAGGAGAGTGAGGTGTTTTGTAAGTCCACCGTGAACATAGGCTTCCTGTTGTTTAATAAAGTTTCCTGTTGTGAGTGAGAGTTACTGTTTCTAACAGCTATCACCATTTCTTGGTAAGGGTTTGGCTATTGTCAGCTTTGCTGTGGTTGTGATGGTGGGACATGAATGAAATAATATGTCAGGCCCCTCTTTGGGTCAGAGCAGTCTGGGTCAAATGAAGCAACACCTCCCACCTTGATGGGTAAGGCCCGTGGGGCTGAACTGAACCAAGTGCTAGTAAGAGCTATTAAAGCAGGCAGTTGAGATACTAAGTGCTTTGCCTGTTGTGGTACTAAATTCATCCCTGAACCTGCCAGAGAGCAACTGCCTCTTCATCAACTGCCCTGTGCACCACCCACGATCAGATACATCCTTCTTCAGGAGTAAGCTCCATGCTGTCACCCCTCTGGGCTTCTCTGTGGGCCCAGCTCCTGCAACTCTCTCAGAACAGGTCCATCCATGTCCTGCAGTCTGTGCAGCAACTCCAGGCACCCATGTGACTGAAGCTGGGGCTTAGCTCCATCCAGTTCAAAGGGAACCAGCTGGTCAAAGCTAAGCATGTGCCCTGACACTGCACCCCCCCACCTTCAAGCACATTCTAGAGATGGGCCAGAATCTTCCCATTGTCTGGGTCACAGGCAGGGAAGGAGGCAAAAAAGTGCTGCCTCTTGTCATTGCAGAAGGCACAAAGTGCTGCACTGAGATTGGAACCAAGGAATCCAAATGTGACTGTAATATTAATGTCTATCATTGACCTATTCCCTACATCTGCAAAACTCAACTGGAGAGAGTCTTGCAATGCAATGTTCCCAGTTGTGGCTGGGAATTTGACTCACCTGTCATGGCTGGTATGAGGCTCTTGCTGCCGGAGGGAGGTTCCACAGTTGGCAGTGCTCTCCAGATGCTTGTCCAAGGCCCAGCACAGAGCAGGTAGAGGGGAGAACTCCTTGTGCAAAATAAGTGAGACTTCTACCTATCAAAGTTGAAAAAGGGAAGTTACAACATCAACCACATTCTGTGTGGAGGATGGACCCCACCCAAATCATCTGCAAAAAGGCATAGATAAAAGAAAGACAGAGGACCTTTTAACTCAGGATCACAGCAGATGTCCTACTTTCACCTGTGTTCTCACTCCAGACTGGCACAAATTCATGAAGAGGTCCCCAGGCTGAGAGCAAAGAGCGGTGACTTCTTCCATCACCATGGCAAACAGGGAGTTGTCCAGGGAGTCTATCCACTGCTGGATGAGTGGAGAGATTCTAGCCTGGATGGCAGCATAGACAAGTGGAAAATGCACAGGGGGCTCCTGCTGCAGGAAGTCATGTGCAAGCAAGAGTGGTTCTCATCAAAAGCTGAGGGCTCCATCTTGCACCTTCACCCTTTCAGCCGTTGTTTTGGCCTTTTATCAGCAGTGTGGAAAGAAACTCATGCTGATAAAGTCAGCAGATGACCCCAAGATTGAAGGAGCGGAAATCAGCAGGAAGGCTGGGCCAGGAGTGCAGCTCAGTTTAGAGGAGTGCAGGTTTGCACGTTCAGCACAAAGAGCACACTCCCAAATGGTCTGGGCTGATGCTCCCTGTGAAGAACTGGAATCCAATGGGTCATTGTGACCCTTACACATAACCCTCACTTTGCTCTTGCTTCAGGATGAGCCTCCGGCTAACTTGTCTGCTCAGGACAGAACTGGTGGAGTGTTCCTGAAAGATCAGAGAATGGAGACATTTGCCTTTTCAAGGGCCCTAAGTAGCTTCTCAAAGAGCTGGCAGCATGTGAGGAGTCTCAGAACAGAGATTCCTGACAGGAATGAGCTCTTTGCAGGGGAGATCTGTGGAGAACATGAGATTGGCGGGAGGCAAACATTTTTAATGACAGGAGGGCTCAAGGCAGATGAGCAGCTGGGACAGGTTGACACACTCACCCATGGGGTGCCAGGTCCTCTGGACCAGCAAAATATTGGAGGCTCTTCCTAATGCCCCCTACATAAGCACATCAAGTGTTGCCTAAAAGACAGTGCTAATTGTTTTGTCAAGAGCTGTTCCAGTGAGGCAAAACCTTGTTCCTTGCTTGTCCTAGAATCTAGTTTGTTTGGTCATTCCATGGCAGAATGAGCTGGGTACCTGTGAGGCATGTTGCATGCAGAGAGAGGGACTAGCTCTGGGAAGCTGCCTGAACTGTGTCCCAGCTGTGACTCAGCCCTTCCAGCCCCCCCCCCACACACTGCAAGTCACCACACACCTCAGACACTGCTCCTGCCTCACAGCAAGTCAGGGTAGGGTCCCATCCCCAGAGGAGCCTGGAGATGGTTCTTGGGTCCCCTGCCCTCCATGCAATTTGCTCAGCAGAGCACAGCTGGCTGGCACAAATCCAGCCCCATGTCCTCCTCAAAGCTGCTGCCACCAGACCTGAGGTGTGGAGTCCCCAGCTCCATGGCTGGGGGGGGTGAGAGTTCCCTCGGCTGGTCACCCACACGAGGGAGAGTTCCTGTTGTACAGCATGTCCCTGCTGCTATCTGCACAGACGCAGGCTGAGCTTTATCTTGGTACTTCTCCTTTGCTGCCATTTCATTTCAGATGTTCTTTCTTAGCAATGAAGTGAGGCGTGGTCAGGACACCCCATCCCGCGATGTTTCTCATCTCTTTCCTCCAGATAAAAGCTACAGTCTACTTGCAACTGCCTGATAGCTGCCAAGTCCTGGGTTTGGAAGGACCAGGGGGGGCATGGGTGGCAGCTGCAGCACTGTGGACCCCCTACAAAATCCATGGCTAGAGCAGGTATTGAGGGATACTCACATGAGTATCCTTAGCAGCAGAAGCCCTGGAACTCTCCAGAGGTCAACAGGACGGCAAAAGCACCTAGGGCCCAGAGGGAGGAATTTGTCTGCAGTCAGGGATGCCAGAGAGAACAGGACAGTAGCAGCCTGAAGCTCAGCTCCCTGGGTCCATGGCCAGTGGCCTGCCCAGTCCCTCCTTCCCTGGGGCTGCTGCTCTCAGGAGGGCATCCGGTCCCAGATTGTAGGGGGCCACAAGCAGCTGCAAGGGAAAGACAGCAAGTTACAAGATAAAACGTCGATGATTTCTGTTGAGGTTTTCCTGCTGTGGTGCTGTACAGTTCTGATTAAAACCTGTATTTTCTGATAATATGATTAAAAAAAAAAGTGGGCAAAACTCTACAGAGTGAGCCCTGTCAGGCAGCCCCCAGGCTGGCTCATGAACAGCTGGCATCCTCATCTATGTCCCGCATCTCCACCTCCCCACCCACCCATCCTGTCCCTGCTGCATGGCCCTACCACAGCCCAACATCAGCCAAGGCATCCACTTGCCCGCAGGTGTTTTTCTGCTCCAGGAAGGGTGGAGTTGTGCTGGTTTAAAAATGACTGATCACTCCTGGCAGTTGGGTGGTTGCATTTCCTCACTTTGGTCTCTTCTGCTGTGTAGCAGCAGACAGTCCTCTTTATAGAGGCACAATGTAGTCCCCAACCTGGCAGGATGCTTCTGGACCCAGAGGAGCCAAGAAGAGTCAGCAAGACCCCTCTGACGTGGGCTGACACCAAACCCTGGAGACCTGGCCCTTCACAGTACTTGAAGAAATGTCCCAGGGACAGTTGTTGTGTCTGACTGTCAGTTCATTGAAAGTGGGTGTTGGTGATGGTGGGTCTCTGTAGGAAAAGAGTCTCTGAAGTGCATCTTTTGATTTGAAGGTAAACAAGAATATTGAAAGAAAAAGTTTCAGGATCATCTCCTCTAGACCACATTAATGACCCTAAATGGCAAAGTTTTGTTAACTGTTTGTTTTTTAAGTGGCTTTTCTTTAAAACCTTGCATTTCCTCAAGCCAAGAACATTAAACAGAAACTGTGGGAGAAATGTTAAATCACACCTAAAAAACACCCTAGAACACCTCTCCTGGTCAGCATCCCTGAGGCTTTGGGACTATGGTGTGCCAGGCTCTCTCTGCCCTGGCCTTTCTGTCTTGTGCTATCGCTCATCAATCACAGCCACAGGCCACATGGGCACTGAGCAGACCAGGGCAGCAGCGATGCCCACAGACCTGCAGGGGTGCTGCCCTGTTCTGATTAGCACAATCAGCCCACTGCACATGGTTTCCTGGCTGCTGGGTACAGCTGGTTCCAGGGTATAAAACCAGCCTCTGGGCACAAGGAAACTCAGACTTCCACACATCTTGGAAGGAGTGTCCAGCTGTGGGAGAGATGTGCCAGCCTCAGCCACTGCTGGCCCTGCTGCTCCTGCTCTCCTGCCCATGGGCCAGTGCCAGTAAGCTGGGGTTCTGCAAGCTGTTGCAAGTGAGGCTGCTCGTCTGGGCTCTCACCTCAGGAGCCATTGGCTCATTCTGCAGTGGGGTGTCTTTCAGGTGCTCTACAGGGTCAGATTGTGGGGGGCCATGAGGCGCAGCCCCACTCCCACCCTTACATGGCATACCTGAAGATAGGGATGTCTGCCTGTGGGGGCTTCCTGGTGGCCCCTGAGTGGGTGATGACAGCCGCACACTGCAAGGGGTGAGTATTTCATATGGGAGCTTTATCCCCTTGTTTCTCACCTAACCTGTGATGTCCTTCACTGGAGTGTTTTTGGAGTAGGTTCCTCTTTCTCCTGTTCTCTGCAGCTCTCTCCACCTGCCTGCCAAAGGGGAGGGAGCTGGGTGACACCCAACCTTATTCCCCCCTCTATGCTCTGTGTTGTGGCCAGGAATATCACAGTCATCCTGGGGGCTCACGACATCCACAAACCAGAAACAACCCAGCAGGTCCGGGGAGTTCTCAGATACCACGAGCACCCTGAATACGACCCTGACACCATGTTTAATGACATCATGTTGCTCAAGGCAAGGCGGTTCTGCAGTGGGCAGTGGGGCAGAGGGTGGGATGGGGCTGTGGGTCTGGCAGGGTCCACCTCTGCAAAGCTGCTTCTGCCCAAACTGCTGGAGGCAGGCAAGACTGGGAGGGACCTGGGAGGGAACCACTGGCAGGGCTTGGAGCCATATGCCACGTTCACAGGAGCTCACTAGAGCTTACAGTGCCACATGTCCTGCTAGACCTCCCCTACCTCTGCATAGAAAGCATCCTTCAGCTCTTCTACTCATAACCTTCTCCGAAACCCTGCTTTCTCCCAGCTGACATCAAAGGCCACTCTCAATGACTATGTCAAGACCATTCCACTGCCCAAGACCAGCAGTGACCTCCCCACAGGCACTAAGTGCAGCATCGCCGGCTGGGGTCTGATTGATGACGACCAGGTGACCAACAAGCTCTTTGAAACCAAAGTCTCCATCTACAGCCGCAGGAAATGCACCCTCTTCTACCCACATCTTGACACTGGCATGGTCTGTGCTGGCAGCTTCCATGAGCTGAAGGATTCCAGCCAGGTAGGGGCTGCCAGCAGGCTGGGGTTTGGCTCTCTGAGAGCAGATGCTGCTGCTGCCACAGATGGAGCTGATTCCCAGGGCAGGCAACAAGCATTTGATCTGTAGCTCCCATATGAACCAACTCTCTGGACATCTTGACACCACAGTCCCTGCACAGTAGCAGAGGTAGAGCCCCAACTCACCAGCTTGGGGCAGCTCCTCCAGCCAGGTGGGCATGTGGGGCAGCAGCAGAGCCATAGCCCCGCTAGGCAGGGAGGGACCAGGGGAAAACCTGTTCCCACAGGGAAGAGGCCTCTAAAATCAGTCTCATCTGTCCCTAGGGAGATTCTGGTGGGCCCTTGGTATGCAATAAAGTGGCACAAGGCATTGTTTCCTTTGGGTATAACGCCCCACCTGGGGTCTACACCCGCATCTCCAACTACCTGCCCTGGATCAAAAAAGTCATGAAGAAGTAGCAGCAGCCACAGCACTTGCTCCAGCTCAGATGTTGCCCTGGAGACTGCAATGGCTTCCTTCCTGTCCCTGCTGAAGGCTCAACTCCCTCCTCTCTCCTTGGGAACCCAAGTGACTTGGTGCACATGAGGGTCCTCTTCATTCTGTTCTGAGGCTGCTGGCTGTCCCCTTCCCTGCCCATCTCAGGCAGCAACTTCAGAGCCATATTAAACACCCTGACAGAGGCAAGAATAGTCCCTGATGGCACAGAAAGAGGCTGTGCCACAACAGACCCCATTTCCTTCAGAGATAACACTGTCCCCTCTTGAACCTTGCTGCACTTAAAACATCCACAGTAAACTCAAAGCTGCATTTCCCAGTGTGTGTTGTCTTTCTTGTGGTCTTGCCACAGAGAGAAGGAGGGAGGGTCTGGCTGCTGCAAGTGAGAGGCCAGACTGTTGGGACAGCAGCAGTCACGGCTCTGCATCCTGAATTGCTGGCAAGCTCGGAAACAAGAGCTATGGTTGCCCTTCCTGGGGT